TATATATTACACCTAACCAGGGACAGTTGCGAAAAATGCAACTTTAGGTCCCTGGCAGGAATTGAACCTGTGGACGAAACTGCGAACCAGGGCCGCAGGTTCGATTCCTGCCAGGGACGAATAGTTGCATTTTTCGCTGTTGTTCCTGGTTAGGTCTAATATATAAATTCCCCAGTTTTGTGACTCCTGTTTTAAAGGAGCAGTATGATCACAATTCATCTCTTAAACCAAAGCTTACACGAAAATGCTCGTAAAACTGTATAATAACTTGTTTTGAAGATTTTTGTTCCCATGCTTAGTTCTTGAGATATTTCATTTTGTTGTAACCATGTGACGTCATCTACTCAATTACATATATAATGAGACATCAGTAATTGTTGTGTATCTTTGATCGATTTGTTAAAAAACACAGTATGCTTAATGATGCAGGTTAAATTAACAAGCGCGCCGCATTTTTCGAAACATTTTGATAAAAATAGCAAAGATACACAACAATTACTGATATCTCATTATATATGTAATTGAGTAGATGACGTCACATGGTTACAAAAAAAATGAAATATCTCAAGAACTAAGCATGGAACAAAAATCTTCAAAACAAGTTACTATACAGTTTTACGATCATTTTCGTTTAAGAAAATAAAAATTTTGATCATACTGCCCCTTTAAACTTTTCTGGTTTCAAGTGTAACCCGCGCATATATAACTCAAAAATACTTCAAACTTCTAAATTCATCTATTATTTTCGTATTCTCTTAATTCCAGGTAAATCAATATTTGAATACAATGCATAATTTCTCCACTTGTTAGACTTGACATGAGCGTATTCTAGAGGAAAGTTAGTCCTTGACAACCTAAATGGTGCAAATGTTTTTAAAAGTGTCGCCTCTTCTCGTTTCAAAAACCCTATCAATATTTTGGTACTAAAATCACCCTTGCAAATCATCTCTACAGCGGCGAATATTTGTGCCATAGGTATATAAAAGAACGGTGGGTCACAGATCACAACGCGAAATGTTTCATCTTGATTTTCCGGTGTTCGAATGTCAAAATATCTGAACTTTGGTAGGTAGTTAAATCGTTCATCTATGTCGAAAAGCCATTCTGATCTATTTTCTTCAAAATGCCAAGCGTGGGCCAGACTCGGTGTTCCCAGACAACAAGGGTGAAATTGATAACGTAAGGCGTCCATCAGTTTATGTACGCATTCTGTAGTCCAGAAGTATTGTTCGAGATCGCGACGTTCCGTAAAGCCTTCGGAAAACATCGATCTATTCGTGGCGGTCTTTCGAGAGACTTCTTGTTCAGTCATGTTTCTAGCTTCGTCTATCCTTGGCTAGGCTTTCAAATGTTTCAATATTGACTGTAGTTTTCCAGTGTAAGTAACTTCAATATTTTTCAGATAGCGTGATCTTTCAAGAATATTCTCAAATGTCTGTATGCATTTACGATATAGAAAGACGATTGTTCCAACTCATATTTATATATTCATCCGCCAACGCAAAACTCTTATTTGACCTTATTTATATTCAATTACGTCATTTTGGCAAAGTTACCCCAAGTGGTGCAATATTCACAACCTCGTGCTACGCTCTCTGCACGGTTTTGGTAATTTTCCAATTTGTGTTGAAATATGGTTAAAAAGCTGTCAAAGTACCAAGTTTTCTCAAATCACCTAGCTTTGAAAAGAAACCATTGAACCTTCGCTATTTTCCAGTCATTTCTATAGATTTTGCATAATCTATTTGCTGAACTTTTAACAATGTCAACTAGACACAAAAGCTCCCCATGCAATTTTTCCATCTTTTGTATTGCTTGTCAACGTAAAGTGTTCCTTGTATTTTAGTAATTAGTTGCAATCTCAAAGCTAGTTTCCACTCAGGAAAATTATCCGTGGATTGGAACGGACAAGAAAATTTTTCTTTGTCTTGTGAGCTCTGGGTTGGAACTAATGACTTTAACACAAAGACAAATTTTCTTGTCCGTTCCAATCCACGGATAATTTTCCTGAGTGGAAACTAGCGTCTAGCCAAATTTGAAACAGGTATATAGTTCCTAATCGACTGGTTGTCGTATTCAGGTTTTTACCATATTAGGTAATTTTGTCGCCAGTGTCAGTGCCCTCACAACGGTAATTTTGTCGCCAGTGTCAGTGAGGGGATAAAAGCAGCAATATACGCATACAAATTACTCGTCCACTCACACCCTGTTCCCCTGCGGGGAGTCCAGGTTATCAACGTAATCTAGACAGGCTTTTCAATGTCCGTTTGTAAATCTCTTGCTTTTTCTGAATCTGAGCTTCATTTGCACCAACGCTGACATATGAAATGCAATTATTTCACAAAGTCAAAGACATTCACGGACAATGTTTCCCTAAACTCAATACAAACTATATTATGGAATCTTTGGTATTTTCTAGTCATTTCTATAGAGATAGCAGACAATTTTAGATCATTTTCAATTAACTTTTAACAATATCAAGGACACAAAAGCCCCCCATGCAATTTTGCCATCCTATCAATTGCTTGTCGGACTTATTGTAGTTTAATTAAATACTTAAAATATACGAATAAAAACAGTCAGATGTAAACACAGAAGTCAATTTGTTCCACCCACGCCCGTGGAGAGACCAGCTTATCAACGTCATCCATAGACACGCTTTTAAATGTATATTTGTAAATTTCTTGATTTTGCAGAGAGTCAACGCTTACATTTTCAAGTACAACTATTTTAAAAGGGAAAGATAATTGCCAAAACTAGAAAATATTATGGAATGTTCGGTATTTTCTGGTCATTTCTATATAGATTTACCATCTGAATATCAAATGATTTTCAATTTTTAACAATATGTCAAAGGCACAAAAGCTCCCCATGCAATTTCGCCTTCAGTCTTTTAATTTGTATTGTTTGCCAACGCCAAGTGTTCCTTGTATTTTACTTGTACCGTTGGCCAAATTTGAAACAGGTATACAGTTCCTAATTTCGCAATTTCGCCATCTTTTGTATAGCTTACCAACGCGAAGTGTTCCTTGTATTTTAGTTGGTTCATTGGCCAAATTTTACTCTGATAATCGGTTCTTGCTTTTTCTAAATATAAGGGAGGGCAACGCTAATATTTTGAAATACCACTATTTCACATGCAAATTAGTCAAAGACATTCGCAGAGAAGAATATTTTCCTAAACTAAATACAAACTATATTATCGAATCTTTGGTATTTTCTAGTCATTTCTATATAGATAGCAAACAATTTTACACCATTTCAATTAACTTTTAACAATATCAAAGAAACAAAAGCTCCCCATGCAATTTTGCTATCTTTAGTATTGGTTTAACCATGCATTCAACTAATAATTTAGTCTGTCGAATATAATATCATTAACATGCACAAGTTGGTTCATTTTGCTTAAATTGCTGCGTCACAAACATTAAACGCAGTTTCACAGATGTACTTTGTTAAATATCAAGATGATAGACGCAGTTAAGGATTATTTAGTTCCAAAAAGATTTGGTATTGTGGGCTATGTATGTGTAATTGTTCATTTCCTTTGTGGATTGGTATTTACTGCTCTTACTGCAGTTTGGAAGGCAAGTGAGAACGGGAAATTTTCTTGCTTTGTTGATGCTAAAAGTACGGCCACGTACAAGAAACAGGTCGATCAGGCATGTTTGGCAAGGTATGATCAGTCGTATAGCCCCCATCTACCTTTGTACGGCTTTGTTTTAGTCAGTATTGGATTGCCAGTTCTTGTCAGTGTTGTTTATTCACTGACAGTGCGCGATCGCGTCGACGAAATAGAGTCAAGACATGAACGACCAACTGCCGTGAATCATGAACAGGACAGGAAAACGGTATATGTTTTTTATTTCTATTTTGTTCACCTTGTTGTACGTGCGTTATTTGGGATGATTTTAACTGTTCTACAACACACATATTTCTATTCTAATGGGTTTGATTTCAAATTCAGCTGTAATTACAATACTACATTAGTAACATGTGAAAATGCAACCGCATCACGAAAACGGTTATCGAGTATATTTTTGTCCATAATCAACGGTGTTGTTGCCTTTGTCGTACTTGTGGAAGTTATTTATCTCTCTTGGCGACGTTTACCATTCCTCAAGTCTCGTTCTGGAGTTGGCTGGAGTTGTGATAATGACTTTGTTAGAGCTCATTTTCTTCCCAAGCGACAGGCACCTCCTAAATTTCAACTGAGAGCCATCGAATATATATACTCGTACAAACAACAAATTTTGAGTCGTCCTCGATTTGACTTCTATGTTAAAGTTGTTATCCACACTGAACGAGCACCGCATAAATTTTCCAAAGACATGAAAAGACACGAAATTTTCGATGTTTATACGGAAGTTCCTTCAAAATCCATAAGTTTAGAAAAGATAAAAGATTTATTTTACCCCAACGAAGATACAGAAGGTAATTTTCCCCGCAGCATTCTGGTGATTGGACGTCCCGGAATTGGAAAAACGGTCTTGACCCAAAAGATTCTCCGTGATTGGGCTGAAGCCACTAATCAAATTAATGAATATTATTGTGACAAGATCGCCTTCTCTTTTAAACTAAGATGGTTCAATAATACATTAGAAAAGATATCCCTAAAGACATTTCTTCAATTTGGAACGGGACTGAGCAAAGAAAATTTTGAAAGTATTTATGAAGAAATTACTAAAAAGCCACAAAAAGCCATTCTTATTTTTGACGGTTTGGATGAGTTTCACGGCAACCCAATCAATTGTTTAGTCCAATCCACAATGATTCCAAATGACCCCAATGCTTGCATGTCTGCGATGAATATATTTGTCAAACTGTTTTGGGGCGACCTGTTGAAAGGAGCAACGGTTCTAGTAACGAGTAGACCGACTGCAGATGATTTTTACTCCAGGCTTGATTTTGATCGAAACGTGGAGATTATTGGTTTCACGTCCAATAAAATTGAAGAATATGTCAGCCGATTTTGTATCAAAAATAACAAAACGGACCTTGAAGTAAAGATATGGGAACACATCAAAACCTCATCAGAACTGTTGAACTTATGTTACATTCCAGTCAACTGCTTTATAGTATGTGTTATCCTCTCTGGATGTCTTAGTGAGCCACAAAATGAGACAAATACTCTTCCAACAACACTAACAAAACTTTACCAGAACGCTTTACGTTATTATGAAAAATACGATAATGACAGAGATACAGAGGGAAACCCAATGATAACGGAAGAGATTTTAAAGAAACTTCAACTATTAGCATTCCGTGGTATGAAAAATCACAAACTGATTTTTGATCAAGAATCTGTTGATAAACAAATGAAGAAGTCTTGTCTGTTGAACAGTTTATCCAACCCTATTTTTCCAATTCAAACACAGTTTTGTTTTATTCATTTAACCATACAAGAATTTCTTGCTGCAAGACACGTGACTGAAACACTTGCTCCACCTGAAATAAAGAAGTTTATTTCCGATCATGTTCGAAGTGGTAGATGGCGTTTAGTTCTTCAGTTCATTGCAGGACTTTTGGGTAAGAAAATCGAGATGTTTGAGTACAAAGATTGTGTTTGGGCGTTTGCAGAAAGTTTCAAAGTTATTCATGGTAAAATGAAACTTAATTACAATCAAGTGTTTGCAATGACATGTTTAATGGAAGTGGACAATGGCAAGATTGCTAAAGAAGTTTGCGAGACAACTGCTTTGAACGATGTTGTAAGGCTTAATAATTCTTATTATTGTGCTTCCCCAAGTGAAATGGCAGCGGTGTGTTTTGTTTGCAAACACATGAAAAACTTGGCAAGTTTAAAATTAGAACCGACCAATGCAGGCAGTGTTCAGGAAGTCCTAGAATTGCTGCAAAAAAGATGCATAAAGAAACTAGAATTGCTTGAACTCTCGCGGAGCTGTGCTCGTGTATTCAGTGCATTGATAAAATTAAACTGTACGTTGAACCACCAAGACACTAAGCTGACTTCGTTAAAGCTCCAGTATTTTTCGATTACCGAGGAAGAATTACCAAACCTGTGCATGTTTTTCGAAAATGGGCATGGAAGTCATCTTGAGAGATTAGATCTACGTTATCACAAAGGTTTATTTGGCATATCGAAACTTTGTGAAGTCCTTAACAACAATGACAATTGTACAGAACTTACATGTCTGTACCTTCATTATGTACCGTTAAAGTACGAGGATGCAAGTGTGTTGTTTGATACTCTGACTAAAGGACTTTGGAAGCTTACCAAGTTGAATATCACTGCGTGTGAGTTAACAGATCGATGTATTCCTACGCTCGTTAAGGCGCTGCAAGATGAACATTGTCAACTGACTGTTCTATCACTGGGGTGGAATGCCATAGGTGATGAAGGTGTAGGTATGTTGTTTGAAGATGCACTGACAAAAGAGCATTGTAAGCTTACTGAGTTGAATCTTAGTTCGTGTTCGTTAACAGATCGATGCATACCCAGTTTGCGTAAGGCACTGCAAGATGAACGTTGTCAACTGACTGTTCTATCACTGGGGCATAATGCCATAGGTGATGAAGGTGCATGTATGTTGTTTGAAGATGCCCTGACAAAAGAGCATTGTAAGCTTACTGAGTTGAATCTTAGTTCGTGTTCGTTAACAGATCGATGCATACCCAGTTTGTGTAAGGCACTGCAAGATGAACGTTGTCAACTGACTGTTCTAAAACTGGCGTCCAATGCCATAGGTGATAAAGGTGTAGGTATGTTGTTTGAAGATGCCCTGACAAAAGAGCATTGTAAGCTTACTGAGTTGAATCTTACTCAGTGTTCGTTAACGGATCAATGCATATCCAGTTTGTGCAAGGCGCTGCAAGATAAACATTGTCAACTGACTGTTCTAAAACTGGCGTCCAATGCCATAGGTGATGAAGGTGCAGGTATGTTGTTTAAAGATGCCCTGACAAAAGAGCATTGCAAGCTTACTAAGTTGGATCTTGGTAAGTGTTCGTTAACAGATCGTTGCATACCAAGTTTGTGTAAAGCACTGCAAGATGAACATTGTCAACTGACTGATCTATTACTGGGGCAGAATGCCATAGGTGATAAAGATGTAGGTATGTTGTTTGAAGATGCCCTGACAAAAGAGCATTGTAAGCTTACTAAGTTGAATCTTACTCAGTGTTCGTTAACAGATCGTTGCATACCCAGTTTGTGTAAGGCGCTGCAAGATGAACGTTGTAAAGTAACTGAATTACGGCTTTGCACCAATCAGTTTACGGGAAAGGGTAAAACGTTACTTGATGATGTACAGGAATATCCAAGTTGTAAAAGCAGAGGTTTACTACTTAAGACTGCTTTATAAAGTTACATAACACCTGTACTCTTGTAAATATGAATGTATGTAAAAAATGTAAGAAAGAAATGCTACTGTAAACCACCTTGGTGTCTATTCCAGAAATATCAGCATGGAGGATCCGTGGGTGAGTTTCCATCGTTTAGAAAACTAATTTCCATAAGTTGAACTTCTAAATCAATCATCTGAGCTATGTCCTGGACCTTTGAACGTTGAAAGAATGTTCTCAATGCGCATTAAATACTCAGCTTTAGTTCAAACGTATCATGTCATCATGTGTAGAAGTTATAGAACCTGAAAAGACCTAAAAACTCATTATAAAATAACATGTATATAACGCGTGTTCTGATTGGTCGAAACCCGTGTTTGGATCAGGCCATCCAAACACGGAGACTATCGTGTTGTTGTTATTTTATAAAACAATTACTTTATGGTTTCCGTATTTGGATGGCCTGATCCAAACACTTGGGAATGTTGCTCGAGTTAAGAAAAGCGAGCAAAATCACTCGCCTGCGGCTCGTGATTTCGCTCGCTTTTCTTAACTCTCGCAACATTCCCGCGTGTTTGGATCAGGCCATCCAAACACGGAAACCATAAAGTAATTGTATATTGTTTCACCTTATTTGTATTAGATTCCGCACATAAAAAAAGTTCGACGTTTGAACTGATATCCGTTTAAGCGTTCTGGGGTCGGCCCCTACCGGAAATCTAAACCCTACACAAAACCCAGCAATCATACCAGACAACCAGGGCCGCCGAGAGGTTGGGGGGGGGCGGGGCAAAAAAATTTTTAGGAGCTCCTATTTCAAAATTTTTCCGGAAAAGTTTTTTTTCGGACTAACAACAACTCCCCCCTGCAATTCTGGTGCATTACCTATACTATATACTGCTATGGTTGCATTTTTCACAACATATGTTTCACAACTGCTCCTGGTTAGGTCTAATAAATGTATTAAATTCACATTTCTTTCCATCTACAAAATCTTTCTCCAATCAGTTATATTGAGGTGCAGATGCCCCCAAATCCTGATATGCAGTAACTAGATGCAGTACCACCTAATATACCTCGTATATTTTTAACATGTAAAAATTCGGTGGTCTTGGTAAGAAAGTTTAAATAATCAACGTTTTTAACAAACGTCTTGACTTATTAGGGAATTTAATCCCGTTGAAACCATTGGTTCAAACCTTCCAACAATGTCGGATGAAAATTTTGAATAAAGTCAATTTGTCAAATCTGATCCAACATCGGCCGGCATTCACTAGCAAACAAAACGAAACATATCGTGTATAAAAAGACAAAAAAATGTTGAATGATCCTACTAAACATCTCATGAAAGCAGACCCAAAAATATCGCGTCGAAGTGTCGAACAATGTCGGATAAAAACTTTGAACATAGTCAAACAGACCCAAATATTTTCCATCTAAGAATGCAGGGACCGGTTGTTCAAAAACCGATTAGCTTAACCCTAGGTTAACAGCTTGTTTTGAAATTTGAAAATATTTTTTCACAAATCGTGTCTGGATCAATAGAATTTTCTTTTCTGACATTTTGAAATAAATGGACATGTAGAAATATGCAAACTAAAACAGCGGGTTAAATTCTAACCCTGGGTTAGCGCTAATCCACCTTTGAAAAACCGGCCCCAGGATGTAATCTTTGAACAGTTTGTGGCAGTGTAGATCGTGGTAATAATAAGAAAGTTTCAGGAATTGATAGTGAGACAACTAAATGAAAAATACAAAGAGAAGTTGAAAGATCTGTACCAATGTAGGTAGTGGTAATAATAAGGAACTTTCACATTGCTAGGGATACAACTAAATGAAAAATACAAGGAGAACTTGAAAGATCTGTGTCAGTGTAGGTAGTGGTAATAATAAGAAAGTTTCAGATTGATAGGGATACAACTAAATGAAAAATACAAGGAGAACTTCAATGGTCTGTACCAGTGTAGGTAGT